ACCCTTACTGTTACTTCAGGTTCACAAAACTGACAAACTGATCCATTCAACACTGTTTGGGTATTCTCCAGTCAAATCTACACTAAGGAAACTATTCGCAAATATACTTTTCTTTTACAAAATAAAAAATACTCTCAAAGATACATTTGAAATTGTTCATGAAATCCTTGAAATGACTATCAAAGATGCGACGGTGTACTAATTCTCTGTGGTCTTTTGACCTGATTCATCAGTATTCTTTGTAATTTGATATCCTCTTGGAAATCCTTGATTCTTTGTTTCTTCAAGGTTTCTTAGAGAATTACTCTTTACTGTCATTAAATCTTGATGTACTTCATTTTGCATTTGAAGGTTGAATACTCTTTACGGGTTAATGATATTTCAATGTAAATTCTCATAGCATAGTTCATAGATGATATTTACTGAAAGTTCAGTTGAAAACTAAATCACAAAGTTTACTGTTCCTTGTGAATTTCCCAAGAATATGATAATACTATATGGCAAAGATGAAAATATAAGTAACATGTTCGAAACGTCCACTTTTCAACAAGACTATATCGTTATAGTATAACTGCTTGTATTATCCCGTCATTGATTAGACGGAATTGATCCGTCTCTATTGACATATGGGCTGCTGTACGGATACCTCGATATTGCCTGTGTTTTAGTTATAGTAATAGGACGAAATGCGCATCCTGGGTTCCACTTCTAGCCACTATCCATCATTCCTATATATAATTAAAACACAGGCAATATTGAGGCATCCGCACAGGAGCCCATATGTTGATAGAGACAGATCAATTCCGTCTAGTCAACGACGGGATAATACAAGCAACAACATTAAAACAATACCCGTCGCATAAGAAGCGGCTATCGCAGCTCGTTGGTGTAGTGGAGAATGCGCTGGCATTTGAAGCGATCGGTGCCGAGTTTGAGTCCCAGTGGAAGCAACATCACTCACTGGGAGGTAGGTACACCTAACTGATGAATCCCAAATAGGACAGAATCTGTGTCCTGGATTCCAGTGCTAGCCACTATCCGTCAAGATTATATCGTCTTAAAATGTGAATAAGACGGCAACCATGTGTGACTATTTTGAGTTAGGAACAAAATGGGTATATATGATACAAGCTATGTAGGACGTAATAGATAGAGTGGATGAAGACATCAAAATACTAAACGAAGTAGTAGTGGATAAGGGAAATTTTTTTGAATTAAGGTAACTTCAAAACCAATCCGTCACTAAGCCACCATGCAACGCCTCCATACAGAAAATAGACAAACTTCTCATGCGTAAAAAACCTTATGAAGCTAAGCTTATTGTTAGGGAGAAAACTAAACAAAACCCTTGAGAGATACCTCAATAGTGCGTATATATGTTTGTTTGCTAGCATTGCTGCACACAGCAGCTACCAAATATACACATGTTTGGACACCTGTATACAAGGGTGAGTAATTTTACTCTGTTATTGAAGATGGTTAAACGTATATGTAAGCATCGGAGCTTTATCTTCTTTGTGGTGGTTAGCTGTGGAATACAGGACGCTCATGTCATTGTATTTCGAACTCATCAGCTTGATATATCTGGATTTCAGGATATGATGGTGTTCCTTATGAGACTTATGTACCAAGAGAGATTGATCGATTCAGTCCAGTATGTTACTTAGCAGGAGATCATATGCATCACTCAATAACAGTTAACCTGATGAATGGCTGAACTCTTAAAAATGTCACCTAATGCGAAAGAAGAACAGTCAACTTCATCAATCTTGAAATACTGTAGATCGCTCGTAAAACATCTTTCTTAATTTTGTATGGGAACTTACATATATTCACATATACCCATCTTGATCAAACACTAGCTGTGTACAAGTGTTAGAAAAACAACTTAAGTTCCCACACTCTAGTGTACTTGAACTCTGGGGATACTTGTATACGGGAATTCGGAACGCGCATTTCGTCCTATTGGTGACTCGTCAGGTGGATATATCTACCTCCCAGTGAGTTACATTATTCCCACTAAGACTGGAATTGGGACCAATCAATTTAAACACTAGAGCGTTATCCTTTAGGCTACCGACTCATGAAAGCTAATTCTTGCGCGATGGGTATAGTTTCCAATGTTGGTACTTGTATTATCCCGTCGTTGATTGGACCAGACTGACCAGCTTCTATGCTGAACATTATTCGTCAAAACTATAAAATTTAAAATTGTTGTGAAGACTGGGGACTAAAAGAAACTGGTTTGAAGGAAACTCACTTTTACCAACTAGATAGTTGTAAGATTACGTTAGGAACTGTACTATTTTCAAAATTGTAAAATACACGAACCAGTCACCAATGAGCAACACATATGGATGTCTAGGCCTTAGTGACTAACCCTAACCGAAGTCTATACATTAGGTTTGAAATGTGACCTCTAAGTTGAGTGACGCAACACTGATTTGTGCTACATCTTGCTGTTAGATGTCTGTTACAAGGGGGGAAAGTTGGTCGGTAAACTTCGGTCGATGCTGAGCACCGAGTTAGTGACAGGTGGATTCAAAAACTACTGGTCACCAATTCGTCTACATGATCCAGTTAGTAGCGATTTGAATGCTTTATGAGTAGTAATTATTTTAAACCTAGATATGCTCACTTACATTGTATTTAGTGTTATCAGCTTTCAGAAAAAGCTAGAATAAAGGCGATCTTTCTCTGTGAGTAAGCATCAACTAAGGTACTAGTAAAGCGAAGCAGTGTTGAAGTTTTTCATAGATGTGTGATCTTTAGGGTTTAGACATACTAATAGTAGTAATACTATCGAACATGTTATAGGTATGCATATTAGGCTATGAATCCCACTTAGTGCAGTAGTAGGTGGAACTATTTAGAGCCCTCGTCTAAATCCAGGAAGTATGGATTCAAAGTCAAGAACTTATCACAATGAACGAGATTTCCACTGAAAAATACCATCTTTAAATGTATTTTATAATATTTGAAAACGTTTGCATAACAGTATCATACTGAAAAGTAATAAAATATATTGTGAAAAAGCATACCCATGGATACCTTTATATTCAAACCAATTAGCATTTGACTACATATTGGATGTAAACAGTTCTTCATTGGGTTTTACTTTTTCACTCTTTAAACTACTCAACTGAAGAAGTCAAATTTCTATGAAGCATAATAGTGAAGAATGACAAAGTGGAAAAATAGTACAGATAGGTGAATAAAAGCCGAGAATCTAGTCAATGAATAGTTTAGATTACTGTAATCTGGTTGGTTGATAAAATTTACAGATCTGTTCGATTGGTTTCAGCGTTATGCTCAATTAAGTTTATTGTTTGTTGACTAAGGTTTTCTGATAACTTCAACAAAACATTTTTGGTATTTCGTACCATCTATGAACTCGTCAATTGGATGTACTTGTTTTCCAGTGATTCGTTCATTTCCCACTAAGCTACAGCATTAAAATTAGATGAGATACTGTTTTCAGCAGATCCTTAGTAAAATGAGTAGTTAGAAATCGCTTGCAGTGGTGTGTAAATTTTGCTAGTTAGATCAAGGTGATTTAATCATCTGGAAGCCATTTTGTTAGTTTACAACTGAGCTCATCAGCAGTGTGTCCGGATGCCGCAGTTGGCCAGTTGAAAAATTACTCAGCTGTGTGTGTGTGTGTGACGCCTGTTGCAGTATTGATGGTATTTCTGCAGATTGAGTTTTACTTCCATTCCAAGTACATCATTCGATATCCCATTAATTCTAAGAAAATCTTTCGTTTGATGTTTAATCTAACGAGACTGAGGCTCTGTGGTACAAGTCAACTTCTACTATTATAGTTTATTAGTTCTTTCATTTTACCTATTCTTCTCTATTGTTCTCCGTTCAGCTTTCTGATCTACTAAAAAAAGGACTATTTACATTGCATGAAGCTTTGAAAGTGGTCAGTAAAGTGAATGCTATGTTGCTGGCTCAACTGACTAGCATTGTAGTTGATAGACATTTAAATTCCAACAAGCAACTAGCTACAGTAATTTTAACTGACAATGAGCATCCACTTCGTCCACAACTCTCTCTGTCTCTCCCTCATTGTATCTTTTCAAGAAGAACAAGAAGTAACTACATAAGACTGTACGCTCGTACAGTCAAGTATAAGTTTTTGACTATCCATTACCTAGGACATATATTATGTGAGGAAAAAGGTGTTAGAACAGAACTAACATATCAACTTTGTAACAATTAACAATCACGTTTCAATAATTTAAAATGTTCGTGTTTTTAGTTTGGTTAGTTGTGGCTAGTAGAATAGTCCAGTAATAACAACTACCCATTTTACAAGAGGTGGATGTCATCCCTCCGTGGCATAATGGATAACGCTTTGGAGTTTGAAGTGATAGGTAAGAGATTCAAATCTCAGTGGGAACAACATCACTCACTGCGGTGCATCTACACCCAGCTAACAAGTCCCAAATAGGACTAAGCAGGCGTCTTGGATTCTTCTGCTACCCACAACCAAACAAATTACCTTAATTAACATTCAGGTAATATCGAGGTATCCGTATAGGAGCCCATATGCCAATAGAGGTTGAACAATTCGATCCAATAAAACAACGGAGAATAACAAGTATATCAATAAATAGTAACTCTTTATATTACTTAGATTGTCATAATAGGACAATTCGAGATGTTGTAAAGGAGTATAAACAACATATAGTTTATTGTTGCTGTTGAGAATTATCATCAGTCAACTATACAATTCCAAAACAATGACTATCGAAACACTACACCTCTAAAGAAGGAACTGGCTTGATTGCATATTACTGGAAAATATCTATGAAACTGTATTCTTGTGACCCACATTTCTAACTTACAAATTGTGTCCAATATAGGATCTTTGAATTAAACTTTAGAGAAAAATGATAATTTTCAGGTACCAAATAAAAAATATTCTGTTTAAGATATGATTTGATCGAAGAGTATCGCAAATACTAAACGCTGCGTAAAACGTTGACATTCGATATAGTTTATGTATTTGTGTATATCATAGCGTGTTCGAAATTCAAATAATTCCAACATTTCTCTTAGAATTATACATTTTAATGATGGATAGTGGTTAGCAGAGGAATCTGGAATGTGCATTTTGTCTTGTTGGGGACTCGTCAGCTGGATATACCTACCTACCAGTGAGCGTTGTTACCGCAAAAACTCGAACTCAGGACCAATGGCTTCAAAAGCCAAAACGACATTCATTTGGCCAATGAGTCACGACAGCCGCTTCTTCTGCGATGGATTCATCCAACTGAAGAGTACCAAACAGGACTAAACAAGTGTATTGAATTCCACTGCAAAGCGCTACCCATCATCAAAATATCATTCAAATGCAGACAAGATCGAAGCGTCTATTTAGAAGCCCATATGCCGGTACAGGTCAAACAATTCAATCCAGTAAATCAACGGAAAATCACCGACATATCAACAAACAGAAATAAATAGTACGCCTTGTCTCTTTTACCTACCTGAGAAGCATCGTTTCAACTACAGGCGGCAACGGGACAGATGCGTATGTCAAAGCCAGGATCCGAATGACAGTAAGACAGGCCTTCATAAGGCTGAAATTAGTGTGGAGATCTACTCTACTCCACTCAGCATAAAACGGGAACAAGATCCGAATTTTCAACACTAAGTCAGTCAAGTCACTGCTTCTATGTCATAGTTGAGAGACTTGGCACATTACCAAAAACATTTCCAACAAACCACAGACATCATACATGAACAGCTGCCACCTACGCTCACTCGATACTGAACATCACATCAGATGGTCAGAATTGTAAGAGTAAGTAACAAGGAACTCACTCCAATTGGCAACGAACCAACCAACCAACCAACCAACCAACAACTCATCTCCAAACAAAATATGCAGAAGAAGAGAGTCGAGATGGATTGCATTGCATTGATTTGAACATACACTGAGAAGACGGTTTGAGGACATCACATGTCAGACCAGGTGACACCGTTGGGAGGAAGCCAAAGGGGAAATGATCAGTTGTTCGTCTGGTGTGAGGGTGACATGGAGTAGATTGTGTGAGGAGGAAACGACAGCTTATGGGCAGTCATGAAGCCAGGTTGAGAAGACTGTAGAGAAGAGAGTGAAATGGGGATGTGCTACTGAAGCTTTATGTTCTGCTAAGAACTCAAAGGATAAACAATAACAGTATCCCTTTTACAAGAGCTGGTTATCGTGCCCCAGTGGTCTAGTGGACTGAGCTTTGACGTCTAAAGCGATGGGTACTGGGTCCGAGTTTCAGTGGGAACAACACCACTCACTGGGTGCAAATTATCCAGCTGACGAATCCTAACTAGGACAAAACAAGCGTTCTGGATCCTTTTGCTAGTGACAACCAAGTAAATTATCATAATATATCTAATATGGAATACAAATATCTTCAAATATTATGTTAAACAGTGAACAAAGCCAAGTTAGTAAATTTATTATCTGAAATTCGAAAGTGCCTATATTTTACTTAATCAAGTTTCTATTCCCGATGATTGTTTCATAAAATATTTTTCTTTGCTTCTTTTCCAAAAAAGAGAAAAGCATCTTTACATCAACGAATATCCTTGTTTCCCAAATGATCTTCATCTGTTGAAAAGATAACACTTGACCTTGAAAACAACAAGATTTTGTTTGTTTTTGTTTGACCGGGAAATTTAAATTTATCAGAATAGAATAAGAAATATTATATGTTAGATTTCACGTTTCATTGCTATGTGAATCTTTACGAAATTGTAGATATTTCAAGGCTTGTACACCATGTTGTTTTGCTAAACGTTTGATAAAATCCAACTTGAGCTTGTCTATACATGATCTGAAATTAAAGGTTAGGTAAGATATGATGAGAAATTTCAATTTGTTGGACAAATATTTTGATAAATAATTCTACAGAACATTTTTGGTAATATGTACATGGAATCAAACTCTCTGGGATGGAGTAAAGTCACTTTGATAGGAATTCGAAGTCACCAAATCCACACTACAATTCAGAAGTAACGCACTTGAAGGTTGATGATAGATCTAGTTACAGTGATGGAAATTATAGAGTTTTCTGAAGGCTAAATCTATATTTTACTCCAAGGTTCAATGGTTTGTCTAGTGAGTGAGTCTTCATAGTTCACCTTTTAACAGTTTTGCGTTATATATGACAAAAGATCCCTAATTAGTCATTGAAAAACCTAAGGTTACAGCAAAGATAATTATCTTTTCGACGATTTATTTTCACAACTGTACACATAATTAAGTGGGTAAAATGTTAAAATGTTTTGTGTTATGTTATGTTTCGGAAGGAGTTCAATGGTACTGTTTCTTCTCACACTAGTGAGTTGTATCGCTTTTTTATTCTCACTCTGAATTCTGTATCAGTATGGCAGTATTCATCATGGACTGAGATCATTTTAAGGATTATTGAAAACCTAGGCATTCTGGAAAACTGTTTCTTCCTAAAATAGGTTCTGGAGATCGAACCTAGAAGCATTGGGTCTCATGGGGAGAATGTGGAAAGCGCCACTTTCATTAAGATGAATTTCCAAAGTTCTAATGAGAAGCCATAACCTATTGGGTCCACCAAGTTGAGTTTGAGAATAAATACTCATCAATGGAATTGAATAATATCTACACTATACCGCAAACTAACAGAAGTATGACAATAGTAACTCAATGAAAACTTGCTTAACGTGACTTCTGGAAGTCAGGTCACAAGGTTGATTTTGACAGTACCGAAATTATTCATAAAGGCTTCACATAAAGTGGAATGAAAATTGTTTGAATAGGAAGGAATGAGAGAGTAAAACGTAGTTTGACCTAGTCTCAACTCACCCCCACAAACTGACATTACCATTGTACATACCATAAGAACTATCAACACATGTGTGTGTACAAATCCCAATCTGTAATTCATACACTTTTTACACACAGCACATTACATATGGAAATCATCTTTATTCTACATTTCTGACAACTCGGAATAATTCATGTAGAAGAACATACGTCAAGTTATCATATATAAGCTTAGGAGGATTTTGTAAATTCTGGTTTACTATGACTTTGATGCAGCTGTTGGCGTCCACTTGGTTGGGCGCCTTTGAATTGCAGAAGCAGAAACAGTTTTTTTCTACATTTTCGCCAATTCATGTTTGTGGGTATCATGAGCAATAGTTGCTTTCATAAACTTTTCACGTTATCCATATCCCTTTAGAATATCTTGAAGGACTTGTAATTCCTTCTCGAGACACTCCACAGAACATACTAATCTATTTCTGAATGTTAAACACCAAATAACGCAACCTTTTCACTTCATTGCTAAGAAGCTGAGAAAGTGTGTGTACTATGCTTCGATCCTCTTCATTTTAAGGAAACATATTTCTTTCTTTTGGTGGGTTGTGGCTAGCAGAAGAATCCGAAACGCCTGCTTCGTCCTATTGGGGACTCGTTAGCTGGGTGTAGATGCACCGCTGTGAGCTATGTTGTTCCCACTGAGATTCGAACCCCGTACCCATCACTTCGAAAACCGGGATACTATCCATTATGCCACGGAAGGACGACACACTCACTTCTTGTACAATTGGTAGTAGTTATTACTGTTTATTGACATACCTGTTATTCTCCGTTTTTTCATTGCATCGAATTGTTCGACCTCTGATGGCATATGGGCTTTTATGTAGTTGTCAATTTGATCAAACAAAACAACGGAGAGTGACAAGTATGTCAATAAATAGTAATATTTCCTTTTTGTTCGTACGACGTTCTTATTCGTGTGTGAAGTGAACTGATAAATGGGTGCTTATTGAAGTGACTGAGGATCGAATCATTAGACATGTATTTGATACAAACTAGAGTATTTTATTCTATCTCGAGGTTTATTGATTTTCGGGTTAAAATTCATCATGAATTGACATCAATTAGAAGAACGTTGGAAACCTAGGAGCGCTTGACAGTTGTTTCATCCCCCTAGTATGGGACTCCTCAGCAGTATGCACCCATGACTCTGCCCCTCCAGGTATTGAACCCAGTACCTTTTGATTCCATGGTCAGCAGATCACTACTGAGCCAATACAAGAATAAAAAAAGCTGTCCAGTGCTCCCAGCTTTCTATTATTCCTCCAACTGATGTCAGTCCATGATGAATACGAACCTAAAAATGTTTTATTCATATACCAACAGTACAAGTTTATGTTTATAACATTATTGAACGATTTCCTAAATTCATTAAAACTATTTCCATAAATAGGGTCTAGTAGGGATACCATCATTACGCCATCGACTTGTTTTTACCTCCTGCTGTTGAACAAGGATTGAACATTCATTGTATACTTGACCAACAAATTCTTAAAGTTCTCAATAGAAATTTATTTTTCATTCTCCTAGCTTTTCGTAGATTTAGTTCACAGTTTCAATAAGAGGGACATTAGTAAACAATGATCTTGCCTCAATAGGTGTCATACATTAATCCGTAACATTTATATTATTCATTGTGTTGCCAAACTGGACGGTATCTTTAACGCTATAACTGACTAGTTCATCCTATAATGGGTGTAGCACTTTTACTAACCACTTTACAACCATATAGTGGGGTGAATATGATATGTCTAAAATAAGGTAGAGTGATACTTCAGTTTTATGTATTTTTCTAGTGTTAAATGGGTTCGATATATTGATCTTGGCGACTAGTAGAGGAATTCAGAAAGGGTGTTACGTCCAATTTGGAACTCATCAGCTAAATATCTAATATAATTTCATATATTACAAAAATGAATTCACTTACCTATAGGCTAAATTCATTCGATATCGAAATACTTCAAAACTAGGTGGATGAGGTAAGTGAATGAGAAACACATTTGCTAGAACAATGAATTTATAACCCAATGCATCTAATGCCATTATATATGATGCTTTATTCCAACCGAATCCGATAAAGCTTTCATCAAAATTTACAGCATAACGTGATATAATAACATATGGTTCATAATCAGCTGACCATTGTACCTTGAAAATGATAATTTAGAGAAAAAAATACTTGTTTAGAACATGGTTTTCAATGGTAATTTATTTGATTGTGGCTAGTAGAAGAATCCAGGAGGTGCGTCAAACAATTCGATCCAATAAAACAGGGTCATGAATAACCACAAGTATATCAATAAATAGTAATAACTATTACCAATTGTGCAAGAAGTGGATATCGTCCCTCCGTGGCATAATGGATAACGCCTTGGTGTTTGAAGTGATGGGTACGAGGTTCGAACCTCAGTGGGAACAATATCACTAATTGAGATGCAGGTACATCCGACTGACGAGTCTCGAAGGGGTCGAAGCCCGCATCCTGGACCCTTCTGCTACCCGCAACCAACCGAACTATCATAATTAACATGCAGGCGATATCGAGACACCCGCATAGGAGCCCATATACCAGTAGAGGTAGAACAATCCGATCTAATAAAACAGCGGAGAATTACTAGTATATCAATAAATAGTAATGGTCCGCAGTGATTTATAAAGAAAAACCTCATTACCAAGTTATTTCTGTAATATTTGTCATTTACATATGCCATCAAACCACAGCAACCGTTGTCGTGTGATCTACGGTGGATTCAGATACTTTTGTTAACCTAATGAAACAACTTGAATTACCAATACATAGCATTCGATCAGCATTTGGGGCAAGACTATGTGCAGTTGATTACACTGCTGCCCGAAAAGCTCAACAAAAACTGACTACAACCTTAAGTGACGCAGGTTCGAATCCCAGGCGGGACATCAGATCCATCGAGGTTGCAGATACGCCTTACTGACAATTGCCCACAAGCACTTCCTGCTGATTGCCTCCTTCCAACTAATATTAGGAAATCACATAAGAAGTTATTAACCACCAACAGTAAACCCGCAGATTTCACTAAACGTATCAGAGTAGTCTGTTAATCAGCGTAACTCTTTCCGAACTGTTCATTTTGTTCAATAGTCAGCTTTAATGTTAGAAATCACTTTTTAATGTAATGATTGTTTAGCCTCCGATAGAAGTTTCATTGACTCCATAGCTGGTGTAGTTGAAAAGTACTCATCAGCTGTGAGAAGTATCAGTGTAGATCGTGTAATGCGTAAACAATTAGCAAATCTATCACCCTATTCAAGTGATTTATACTTTAAAATGGCACAGAGTGCGCAGTCGAAACCCGCTTAATTGGACAGTTATATTATTATTCCGAGTTGGGTTTATTTGATATGGAGTACAACGATGAGACATTACATACTGGATAATGTTTGCCAGCCAACTTTTTATGCATAGTCACATTTGGGTAGTTAGAAACTTTGGGACGGAGATTTTAAAGTGGTGTTTAGTTTCATTCTCAATTATTATTATTGAATATTAATTTGTCCCTTGGGTTCCTAGTGGAACATAGGGCTTCAGTAGCACGTCTCCCTTCCACTCTGTTCTCTGCAATCTTTTGAACCTGACTCCACGACAGTCCACAAGCTCTTATTTCTTCCTCACACGATCTCTTCAATGTCACCCTCCGACGTAGCCTTGCTAGGTTCAAACATAGTGTTGACATTCCATGTCCCCATGTTTACTTTTGTTTTCATAGAGAGAAGAGAAGACATATCGGCCAATTGGCTTCCTTAAGGCTTTCACCAACCGGCATCATTTCATCTCTCCGATTCCAGTGAGGAATAAGTTTGTTTTTATATTTTGTCTGTGCTTTGAAGTTTCTGTAGCGGTTGGATTGGTTTTATGGGGCAGGGTTGCTAGCCCTACGTCCAACCTTCTCTGTATACCCGGGCTTAGGACCTGCTAGTAACTATTGAACTAGTTAATCAGGTGGGGTTTTTCTCAATTATATTTGTCATCATTTTGCTCTTAATTGAAAACAAAACTTTTTGTATACACTAAGAATGATTCAAAAAGTTTGAGAAATACTAGAAAGATTTTACAGTTCTTAAATGTAAAAGAATATGCAAAAATGGTAAGTTATTATCGAAGTTTCTAAAGATCTGCATTCATACTATCATTGATGATTATGGGTACTTATTTGTATGTGAAGGAAGTCAGATTAAATAACACTATATCACTGTTTCCAGCATCTAACAAACTAATTTGTGTGAATTTAGGCACAATCATAGAGCACAAGAGTTGCTCTGCTGTATTGTAATAATACTTGTGATTTCCCGTTGCTATACGGTGTCAAATTCCTTGACCTCTGGTGTTGGCAGTTGGGCTCCTATACGGATGCCTCGTTACTACCAGATATTCATGATGTGGTATTGATCTTAGTGACTACCAGAGGAGTCTAAGACGCGTGCTTTATCCTATTTCGGGCTCGTCAACCGAATGTACATGCACCTCAGTGAGTGATTTTGTCCCCACTGGAGTTGGAACCCAGTACCCTTCACTTTAAACGATATAGGGTTGTCCATTAAGCCACTGAGGTACGATAGTCACCTCTTGTACAACGGATATGAGCTGTTGTATTGATAATTGTAATTCCTCCATCGTATATACGACCAAATTGCTCGATCTCTGTTGGCTAGTCATCAAGATCAATTCAATATCATGAATATTCGACAGTAATGAGGCATCTGTATAGGAACCTATCTGCCAACAGAGTTCGAGCAATTCAGCCCCGTATCAATACAACAACTGATATCCATTGCACAAGAGGTGTCTATCATGCCCCATTGGCTTAATGGATATCGCTCTGGAGTTTGAGGCCAAGGCTTTTGAGTTCCAACCCTAGTAGGAACAACATCACTTACTTGGGTGAAGGTACATCTAGCTGACGAGCCACGAATAGAATGAAACACGCATCCGGAACTCCACTGCTAGTCACCAAAATCACTATTACTTTACTTTAACTTACAGCTTTTCACTATGACTCTGAATTGGGATTTTAAGGAATAAGCAAATCTCCTTTTTTTTATCCTCTGAACACGAATCATGATTTTCTAACCATAAGGGATTAAGGGTTCAATCAAATGGGTTTTTTGCAATATTATACTCATATAGTTGTTGTTAGATTCAACTTTATGCTTGACAAACCTGTTCACTCTGACTATAGAAGGTTTTCCATACGGTTTAGTTAGTCATCTTGAATATCTGCATTCGTACTTGTTTTCGTGCTGAAGATTTCTTATTACTAACTGCATCTAAATATCCTTTTGAAGTAGATAAGTCTAGGTGTTAGCCTTCTTTAAGTTGTTTGATATCCATATGGTATCTCTGTCTGAAGTCTTTGAATATTGGTTTGCGGCATACTGGGGGGCTGGAGACTAGTCGGTTGGGCTCCATGTGACAACAGGAACCAATGGTTAGTTTCGTTTAACACTTTTTAGGAACATCTTTCTTTGTGGATACACGGTACAATGAATCGACTATGGTGATTTTTGAACAGTAACAGTTTCAACAGAGTTTCACAACTTCGGTTATCATTTCAGAGATATGATTCATAATTAAACGAATTATTTGATCCATACTTCTATAATGTCGTTTTGTAGTGATTCATTAGCTTAATGTTCTCTTAGAATAGCTAAGAGAGTTCATCACTGTTGAACCTGTTCTACGAAGGATTCAAATAAACATAATTATGACATTAGATAATATCATCATTCTGTTTTTATCTAAACTAAAGTGATAATTTTACGTCTACATCAAAACGGTAAACTCAAAAAAGACTTTTAATGAACTCCTAAGTAGTTGATTAAATTTTATGGATAAACTGTATGCTGAAGCGCCATAGTTATTTATAAAAAAAAGATATTTAGAGACTAGATAAGTAGCACTTCTATATCCTTAAACTGTAAATCAAAGTGTTGTTACATAAATTTGCTGGAATTACATCCTTTTCATAAGTATAATTATATGAATTGCCGAAATTCGTAAGAGTATGGACGTTCTTTTTTACACTGAAATATGCTTCATTTTACTCCTCATATATTTACATTCTTTTTGCCTCTTTTTCAAATATCTGCTGACTAATCGCTCTTAAAACTGTACAAGAAAAACGACTCATTGTTTCAAAAATATGATAGTCCAGTGCTCCCAGATTTTCAATACATTCCCAACTCATCTCAGTCTATGATAAATACTACGTCTAAATTAAAAATCTCCGTTCATCTCAAAAATACATTACTGTATAGTGCTCATTAGTGACACGCTTCTAGATGGATATCATAAAGTTTTAATGAAGAGCCGTGATATATGAGGTCAACCAGCCGGAAGGGAAGCGGATACTAGCTGAAGACCTTGGGTGGTAGTCGCACTATATTGTCAGTTGATAGGAGTTGGGAACTGTGAACCATTGAACTCCGATCCAGTGGCTCAATGGTTAATGCGTTCGCTGTGAAACCTGAAGGTCCTAAGTTCGAACCTTAGTGGGCCGAGGCCGTTGGTTCGTACTGCCAAGGAGTCCCATGCTAGGACAAAACGGCTCCCAGATTCTCAATAGTTCCCCAACTGATGTTACTCAGTGATGAATACTACCTCTAAATTTCTCGGTATTGTTTGTTTTTCATCTACCAGGGGTGTGTGGATTAATGGCTGTAGATAAGCCTTGCTGATGAATGCAGACGTACACAAAACCTGGGCCAATGACTTCTTGACGATTTCCTTAAATTGTTATCGATCATGGGATGGTGGCATACAACGTCTTTTAAGCGTTATTCATCACTGTTATTGTTTTTCTGAACCGTCACGTAAGGGAATTGTGAACAGGTATTTTCTTTCAGTTATTTAGCTCTTCCATATTTATTATTTGTCACTTGAGTTCCTAGCAGAACATAAAGCTTCAGTTGCACATCCCCATTTCACTCTCTTCTCTACAGTCTTCTCAACCTGGCTGCATGACTCTCCATAAGCTGTCGTTTCTTCCTCACACAATCTACTCCATGTCACCCTCACACCAGACGAACAACTGATCATTTCCCCTTTGGCTTCCTCCCAACGGTGTCACCTGGTCTGACATGTGATGTCCTCAAACCGTCTTCTCAGTGTATGT